TCAGTGGCTTGAAGAGCTCCAGCTGAACCGCTGCGTTCGTTGTCAGTGGCTTGAAGAACTCCAACTGAACCGCTGCGTTCGTTTCTGGACCCAGGGTGCGTGACGACAGCCATTGCTGTCTGCGCGGGGTCCTGGACGTGGCCGCTGTTCGCGACGATCACTGTTCGCTAATCCGTGCTCTGTAGAACTAACACGGTGAGGTAGAACCCCCCTGCTTCCCCAAGGGACACCGGCGGTGAATCCCACCATCCTTTCAGCCTGATTCCGATGGCACTAGCTACGGGGGCTTTTTTCATTTCCGTACAGGGGCTTTTGTTTCATTTTTATAATTTTTTAAAGAATTTTTTTTAGATGTCATATTCAACATCAGTGTGATTTATCAGTAACATAGAGCAGAAGTGCGGCAGTGAACCTCAAGGATTCATGTTCGTGGCACCATTCCAGCTCAGTAAGATATATATGGTTTTCGAACGCTTAACGTAAAAAACTAATTAATCAAGTCACGATACCTCAGGTATAGAAACGATGGTAAGTCATATGTACTTTAAAGTACAGATTAATATGCATATATATATATATATATATATATATATATATATATTTCCAAGCATGAATATGATGAATAAGAAACATGCATGTGATATGATAACTGTACTTATTTCGCATCCAATTCATGCTAAAATAGTCGTCAATTTTTCTGTGGAGTAACTATTTCCACCATCTTTTTTAACACTGCGTAGTTCATAACGAGCTATTTCATTAGACGACTTGCTTCGACAATTTTCTGCCTCCTTGCTGAAAAAGATATGTTTTAATCTAGTCCCATTGGGTTTAACCTCATCTTGTCTCGACCTCCTCCTACCGTTTCATTAAGATATTTCCATCAGGTAATGCTGCTTTAGGTCCTCGCACGGATTTAAAGACTTCAGTAAAATCTTCTCTAAGCACTTCATATTTCAGATAAAACACGTTCAGCTTCTTGAATGCCTGTTCACAAGAAAACTTTCCACAGTAGTTACCCTTCTAATCCCTCTCTTAAAAATGCAAGTATTTTTGATAGCAAGTATGCAAGAATGCGAGTATTTTAGCTCAGGCCTGGGCACAATATCACCAATGTAGCTCTGCGTACGCATATGATTACACGGTCCTGTAGTGACGATAACAGCTCTGCAGACATTGTACTGGCTGGTTAAACAAGGTCATCAAGTGAGCCTTGGTTATATTGTCAATGCTGCACTTTCATGCTGCGTTTATGACCACAATTTCATAAACACAACTTGAAGTTATTAACTTATGCATGGTTGGATCATGGATAGCAATAATCCAGCCTTCTATTTCTGTGTAAATCGTTGAGTTCACGTGTTATGCACGCAACAAGTGGAGATAGAAGCGCGGGCTCAGAAGGCGGACACTACGCGGTGATCGATGCGCAGGCCCAGAAGGCGGACCTGCGCAGGCTCAGTGGGCGGACACTACGCGGTGATCGATGCGCAGGCCCAGAAGTCGGACCTGCGCAGGCTCAGGAGGCGGACACTACGCGGTGATCGATGCGCAGGCCCAGAAGGCGGACCTGCGCAGGCTCAAGGGGCGGACACTACGCGGTGATCGATGCGCAGGCCCAGAAGGCGGACCTGCGCAGGCTCAGGAGGCGGACACTACGCGGTGATCGATGCGCAGGCCCAGAAGGCGGACCTGCGCAGGCTCAGGAGGCGGACACTACGCGGTGATCGATGCGCAGGCCCAGAAGGCGGACCTGCGCAGGCTCAAGGGGCGGACACTACGCGGTGATCGATGCGCAGGCCCAGAAGGCGGACCTGCGCAGGCTCAGGAGGCGGACACTACGCGGTGATCGATGCGCAGGCCCAGAAGGCGGACCTGCGCAGGCTCAGTGGGCGGACACTACGCGGTGATCGATGCGCAGGCCCAGAAGGCGGACCTGCGCAGGCTCAGGAGGCGGACACTACGCGGTGATCGATGCGCAGGCCCAGAAGGCGGACCTGCGCAGGCCCAGGAGGCGGACCTGCGCAGGCCCAGGAGCGGACACTACGCGGTGATCGATGCGCAGGCCCAGAAGGCGGACCTGCGCAGGCCCAGGAGGCGGACACTACGCGGTGATCGATGCGCAGGCCCAGAAGGCGGACCTGCGCAGGCCCAGAAGGCGGACCTGCGCAGGCCCAGGAGGCGGACACTACGCGGTGATCGATGCGCAGGCCCAGAAGGCGGACCTGCGCAGGCTCAAGGGGCGGACACTACGCGGTGATCGATGCGCAGGCCCAGAAGGCGGACCTGCGCAGGCCCAGGAGGCGGACCTGCGCAGGCTCAGGAGGCGGACGCTACGCGGTGATCGATGCGCAGGCCCAGAAGGCGGACCTGCGCAGGCTCAGGAGGCGGACACTGCATGGCACGTGTGACGTTGCTGGAAGTGCGGTTGAAGATAGGGTAACACTGGGTGAGGCTCGTTGTTCGGTTCGGCCCGGCATCGGTGAAGTGACATTCAGCAGGGCTCACAGTGACCTGAGGGTAGTGACTGCCGCGCGCTTCTGGAGTTGACAGCACCTCCGGCAAGGCCAGGCAGTGGTTACCTGACCTTTAGTAGGAGAATAGCTGGCTAAATATGAAAATGAATAGGATAGCCTCTCCTTTAGTTATTCCACTTCAACACTTCTAAATAGTATATACAAGCTCATCAAATAAAGAGAATTTACATAGCACTATTCCAGAGATCGAACTAAATGCAAAATTCGTTGAAATTCTTCAAACGCTCAAGCTTTGCGTCTCGATGTCTAGGACCGATCTGCGGTAATCTCACATTTCACAGAGGATGACAGTGGTGGCCTTACGTTGATCTTGGCCAAGTAGTGGCGATCTGTCCTGAACAAGATCAGGCACAGGTGACTTTACAGTCAGTGCCAGCCAGCGGTAACCTCGCGTTCGGTGCTGTCGGGCAGCGGGGATTTCGTCGGGCAGCGGGGATTTCGCTTCTGGCCAGGCCAAGACAGTGATTAAGTCACCCTCAGTGCCAAGCGGCGGTCACCCCACCCATCTTCAGGACCGAGCAGCGATGGCTCCACCATCTGCTGGACCGGGCGGCGGGGGCCCCACGATCTGCTGGACCGGGCGGCGGGAGCCCCCACCATCTGCAGGACCGGGCAGCGGTGGCCCACCATCTGCAGGACCGGGCAGTGATGACCTCACCTGTAGCAGGGTCGGGTAGTGATGACCTCACCTGCAGCAGTGTCGGGTAGTGATGACCTCACCTGTAGCAGGGCCGGGTAGTGATGACCTCACCTGCAGCAGTATCGGGTAGTGATGACCTCATCTGTAACAGTGTCGGGTAGTGATGACCTCACCTGCAGCAGTGTCGGGTAGTGATGACCTCACCTGCAGCAGTGTCGGGTAGTGATGACCTCACCTGCAGCAGTGTCGGGTAGTGACGACCTCACCTGCAGCAGTGTCGTGTAGTGATGACCTCACCTGCAGCAGTGCCGTGTAGTGATGACCTCACCTGCAGCAGTGTCGGGCAGTGATGACCTCACCTGTAGCAGTGTCCGTTAGTGATGACCTCACCTGCAGCAGGGCCAGGCAGGAGGCAGCCGAGCGAGAGAAGCAGCCCCAGGCCGGCAGCGAGCGCCGGTCGCCCCATAGCGGGGGCTCGTCAGGAAGGCGGGCCCGCACCGCTCGCCGCCAGGTGACACAGTGCCTCTGATTGACGCAAAGGTTGGGTCCGCGGCTGACATTCGGGTGCGGGCGGCGCTGAGGTCGACGCGGTGGGACAGGGTGACGCAGGCAGGGACGAGGTCAGGCCGACAGGTCGGGAGGCGAGGCTCCAGACAGGACTTTTTACCACCTCTGGGGTGCAGTAAATGATCAGCTGTGGTTTCCTGCTCGACGTCAAAAACTATTCCGAACCTGCACTCTTGCCTGAAAATCTTGGCTACGTGTCTGGATGGAGGTAATGACGGCGATGAGTTGACCCGAGAACAACAGATCTGCCAGCGTTGCGGTGGGTTAGCCTTATTTTTGGCTGAACGCGGGGGTCAAAGGACTATCAGGGAGTGTCCGCCCATGGCTGCTGTAACGCCAATAGGCTTGTCTGCTTCATATTCGTATTTGAATACCACCTTGTTTGAGTTTGCATCCCATGTGTTAGGATCTCTATTCGTGTGAACCATACTTTTGTATTTGTGTAGCATTTGTGTTCATAGACTCGTCTGTATGTAGTTGTACAGTCGTTGAGGCAGTTCATTGTTCGGTAGTTTATATTCATGAACTGGACGCAATCTCCGATAAGTCATGTTATGGGATATCCTCGATTAAATACATACATACATTCGTTTACGTGGTAATATACATAAAACATGCACTGCAAATGTGATCCCAGGCCAGTGACTTTGTAAGTTTCGCTGCAAAAATAGTAGCAGACGCCAGACAGGGTTGTAGAACGGGTCCTGACCAAGCGCAGGCCGCCACTTGTAACAGTTTAGCCTCATCTGAGACTCTCTGACCGGTATTCGAATGCTGACGCTTTTGCACGGAAAGGGTTCACCTGCTCCGTAGCGACGTGAGATTATTGTGCCAGCTCTCTACTTGTGATACACGTAAGAAAGCCATCCACGGCTGCCTTTTTGGGCAATATGAGCTCAGAATTTTTTGTGCTGTGTTATCAACCTTAAATATATCAGAAGATGCTGGCGTAGCGACGATGCAGGGCTAACATTGTTCATCTCGCCAATACCCGACGTTTCGATACGAGGAAAAATATCAGGTAAGTGAGCGACGGACTACCAAAGCCACTGACCAAGCGTTGGTGCGGCAGCGAGTACGCCCTCTGGTGGGAGCGGCGCAGAGGCATTGACCAAAGCCACTGACCAAGCGTTGGTGCGGCAGCGAGCACGTCTTTTGGTAGGAGCGGTGCGGAGTCATTGACCAGGCGGGCTCTGAAGCTCAACTTTGCTGGGCTCGCGAAGACGAAATGTGGAATGAACCAACAAATGTACTGAGAAAATCAAACATTCTCCTGATGCTGTTTTCGGTGTCGATAACCTTTAACGCGTAAAAATGAGGCACCATTCAGTATCAGGCAGATTCAATGAGGCAGACCATTCAGTATCATCTTACTCGTAGCAGGGTGTCGTGGAGCGAGCTCAGGATCATCTGACTCGTAGCAGGGTGTCGGGGAGCGAGCTCAGGATCATCTGACTCGTAGCAGGGTGTCGTGCAGCGAGCTCAGGATCATCTGACTCGTAGCAGGGTGTCGTGGACCGAGCTCGGGATCATCTGACCCGTAGCAGGGTGTCGTGCAGCGAGCGTGACCCGCTGATGGCACCAAGGACGGCACACGGGTGGCAGGGTGTCGTGCAGCGAGCGTGACCCGCTGATGGCACCAAGGACGGCACACGGGTGGCAGGGTGTCGTGCAGCGAGCGTGACCCACTGATGGCACCAAGGACGGCACACGGGGATCCGAAAGCGGGAGGAGCGGGTTGAGGCGTCACGATTGCCTTTTGTCAAAAGAGCTCCTTTTGGCTTGGTTTTGGCTCAGGACATCCTAGGGGGAGTCTTGACGGCATTGGCGGCGCCAAAAGAGCTCCTTTTGGCTTGGTTTTGGCTCAAGACATCCTAGGGGGAATCTTGACGGGATTGGCGGCGGACGTTTGGCTGCCTTTGCTGCTGCGTCCGATGAGTCATCACGGCGTCACCGTCTTAGCCTTAAAGATGAGAGTCAGGACGGAGGTTCGACCGACAGAAGTCCTGCCCATAAACACTGTCAGTCCTGGCAGCCGTCCAATGGCAGTCCTGAGCGACTCAAACAGCGCAGCCGCCTGGGCTGGCACTGTGGTGGGGCGTGCCTTTTGAACGATCAGCACAGCCTGCGGCGTTCTACGGTTTGTGCGGCGAGTGAACGGAAAGGAACAGTGAGGTCTGGGCTGAATAAGTGAACAGAGATGTCGAACTCCGAGCTGGAGCGACGATTACCTAAAATCGTTAAGAGGCCGAATGGATGTGTTTAAGTGATCACAACAAGGCTGAAAATTTGCGCAGTCATAGTCTGTCACGTTTAAGCGACACTAAACTAACATTTTAGGACGACTTAGACAGCTCATCGACCTACCAGTGCCTCGAAAATCCGTGGCCAAATGGAAGAAATGAGCACAGCAAAAAGTTTCTCGTTTCAGTTATGAGAATTTCCAAGGCCTACGCGGATGCAAACTCCCGTACAAATAAGGCCTTCAATGACCAAAAATAATATGCAGCGCATCAGATTTTTTAGCCGCCTAGTAAACGCCTGCCGCCGAATGGTGCGGCTTAACTCTGTTGGGTAGGGTGTTAATAAAACACAAAAAACTTGCACCGACAGCACGCTTCCCTTTCAGCAAAAAAACGGGGGAGGGGGCTGGGCTCGGGATGGTCTTCCCCATGACGTCACGGAGGGTGGGTGGGTTCGGGATTGTGCTCCCCATGACGTCACGACATTTCTTTGAATATTTATACGACGGTTTAGCCATCATCCTGATCAGTTCAGTGGCTCATCCTACGATAATTTTGATTATACCTGAAACTTTTAGGCCTAAATCATGTCCTGCCAATCACCCAGATTACTTTTAAGTCATTCACGTTGGGCCATGACGAGTGCAGCATTCGCAGTTAATGCGCTATGATGCGACTGCTCTTTTTCCAATGTACCTTTCTGCACAACGATGACGCAAAACCTATCTCAAAATATTAGTCTGAGGTAACCGTAGGTCATCGACCTGAGGTGGCCTTGACCTCCGGTTTTGGCATGTTTTCCACTCGTGTAATCATGTATTTGATTTGCTTTGAATCTAGGCAGTGGTGCTTCTATACTTTTTAAAAGGGTATAATGGGTCATAGCCCGCTTCACCTTTGACTCAGAACTTTGATAATATGCGTTCCACTAACAGCACCCTTTGACCTTTACCACAGATCTTTGCACTCGCCATTTTCGTCCCGCGGCAGTCATGTGACATTTGTTCCGAAAGGTCCTGAAACGGTATGATGTCGATGGATTTTGGTTAGCACCGGTTGTACAACACTTGCTGGTGAATTTCGCTTTGAGCACCTTCGAATAATGGCGCGTGGAAATTGCACCCTAATTTACCCCCACAACTCATATTAGCGTCGTCAATCTTCACGGCCACCAGATTCCTGAACTGCTAATATATGCTGATAACTCAACCATTTCGACTCTTATACCGGGCTATTAACCATGCGCGGTCTATGCAAAACTGAAGCAGTAAGATGCATCAATCTGACCGCGAGATAAATAGCAAAATAAAATCGTGGGCGATGCCAGTTAATTAGTAGTTGATATAGACTCGTGGCGGGGCGGTTCATCGCTTCAGGGATGGCTTCAAGTCGCAGTAGGGGTGGCTTCCAGTCGCTTCAAGGGTGGCTTTAAGTCGTAGTAGGGGTGGCTTCCAGTCGCTTCAAGGGTGGGTTCGAGTCGCTGTCGCCGTGCGCTGTATGTCTCTTGCTGGGAGCGTTTGCGGCCGTTGGCCGTGGTCGCTGGCTAAAGGCCAGGTGACGTCAGAGGGCAGAGTGGACCGTGCCGGACATCGCGGCACATTAAACATTCACCGTAATATCATACCGTTGACCGACCAGACCGTGGAGCCATGGCTCACGCCGCGGACACTGCTTAGCGTGGGCTATTATTCCAGAGATGCAACCAATCAAAAGATCTGGACTAGATCTTTGAAAAATTAAGAGGGAAAAGTGACTGAGGTATCTTCGTGCTGCATATGACTGGACTTAACGAGGGACGCAGCACTAAAGATTATTCGCCAGAGTACTTGACATGGCTAACAAGCACATTGTTACATGCATGGCTCGGTAGCAGTCATCTTGCCTTTTAGATCACATTCTCAATAAATGTATCTTCAAGTTTGGCGTTTTTCCCCGTTTCTGAAGGCCAGAAAGAGGCAAGTGATGATGATAAAAGTATTTCGTGTACGTCTTGCAGGTGAGCATCCCGTGAAGAAGTGTGAACTCCGATGCACTTAATATGTAGGTTGTGCTTGTGCTTACCACGATGTGCTCCAGTATATGCATCTCAAAACACGGTAGACTCAAGTGGCTCCAGATGAAACTGGGGCCCCCTGACAACCCGGCGTAAAGCACCAGAGAACCAGCCGACCGCTGACATCAGCAGGTGCAGTCCAAGGCCCCGCCGGACCAGCCGGCCGCTGACATCACCAGCTGCAGTCCAAGGCCCCGCCGGACCAGCCGGCCGCTGACATCAGCAGGTGCAGTCCAAGGCCCCGCCGGACCAGCCGGCCGCTGACATCAGCAGCTGCAGTCCAAGGCCCCGCCGGACCAGCCGGCCGCTGACATCAGCAGGTGCAGTCCAAGGCCCCGCCGGACCAGCCGACCGCTGACATCAGCAGGTGCAGTCCAAGGCCCCGCCGGACCAGCCGGCCGCTGACATCAGCAGGTGCAGTCCAAGGCCCCGCCGGACCAGCCGGCCGCTGACGACATCAGCAGCTGCAATCCAAATCGCGGGCTCCACACTGGACGGATACGGGCTGTGGAGGGGGGGGGGGGGGGGGGGGGGGCGAGTTGGAGACCGAGAGGTGCTGCACGTCCCGCAACTTGTCAGGCTCAGCGCGGCGGCGCGGTTTGTTGGAGGCGTAGTTGGAATGTAGTATAAACGGAAAGCAACCATGCGAAAATCGAATACTTCGTGTAAAAACGCGCATTTTATTTGGGCATCTGTCGCCGTTTTTTATTGATGGCTTGTATTTTATTTCTGATGTCGTTCTTCGTTGGTATTGCTGATTGCATCGCCACGTTTCATCTCCCTTAACAGAATACATTTTGGGCAGTATTGAGTCACCTCAAAATTACGCCATTGGCCTATAAACGGTGTTGTAGCGTCACCCTACCATAAGCAGCGCCATTCATTTTAATTATCCTCGTCGTTAGCATGTCGTCGTTCATCATAACGTACAAATGCAAAGTGTGATCCACTCAGCTCTCAGACCTGTCATCGTAAATAGAATAAGTATTACACAAGCAACGTTTATTGTAAATGAAATAAGCATTACATTAACAACGTAAGCTGCACCGCCCTGTTCCGGCCAACAGTGATACTTCTCCTCCAATAGTTATGAAGTGTGAAAGCTGAACGCTGAAAGAGGAGCGAGCCGCGATATTTGTAAATAATTTGCTATGCTTTAACGTGCGCAGCTGTTTCTTCCTCTCCGTACGGCCTCCCAGTTTCATCCTCTCGCCACGGGTAAACCGAAATGGCGTTGCCAGGGGCTATGCCGCCAAGAGCTGCGGGTTTCTCTCGTTGCTGCAGCCCCCTGCGACTGAGACGGGCGACCAGGTGCGGATCCTGTAGTGAGAGGTCGCCCAAGAGCTGCGGGTTTCTCTCGCCGCTGCAGCCCCCTGCGACTGAGAAGGGTGACCAGGTGCGGATCCTGTAGTGAGAGGTCGCCCAAGAGCTGCGGGGCTTCTCTCGTCGCTGCAGCCCCCTGCGACTGAGACGGGCGACCAGGTGCGGATCCTGTAGTGAGAGGTCGCCCAAGAGCTGCGGGGTTTCTCTCGCCGCTGCAGCCCCCTGCGACTGAGAAGGGTGACCAGGTGCGCATCCTGTAGTGAGAGGTCGCCCAAGAGCTGCGGGGTTTCTCTCGTCGCTGCAGCCCCCTGCGACTGAGACGGGCGACCAGGTGCGCATCCTGTAGTGAGAGGTCGCGGGTGATTGAGTCCCTGGCACTCCGTTGTGTTTAAGAGAGGACATGGCTAGAGAACACAATCGGCAAATTGCGGTGATGAGAGGAGGAAAATGCGCGTGTTTCATGTAGTTTTGATGTGGAAAATACTATATCGTAACATCTGAGAGCCGACCAGGAGACCTGGCAGGTGTCAGTCGTTAGCAATTGTTCCTTCAGCAATTGTTCGATCAAAGACGTCATGAAGGAAGGCCCCAATCGATTTCATATCGGCTGGGCATAAGAGCCAAATACATTACAGAGCATCATTACAGTAATTGTTTGCCAATGTTACTCGGCATTGTGCATGGTTAACGTTTAATTGCATCCCTTGCAGCAAGCACACGCTGTCTTAAATATTGCACGATATCGCCTATAATACCAGCCCTCACAAAGTGAAAAGATGCCTATGAAAAGGGTAATGCATAAGCCTAAGCAGTGTGCAAAATGTAGTGCTTATGTGTGCAACGTAACAATGACTGGCAAAGAGAATGCGCTACAATCTGTTAACAAACGACATAGAAAAGCCCTCAGCAGATGCAGCTGAGTTCACATAAAAATTTGGTCTCATCGAGTTTTACCTTTCCGTCGCTGTGTTTTGTGCCTGTTGTACGCATATTCGAACGTTTTTCAAGGTAGTGTCCCGTTAAACTTGGGGGCTGGGATCACCGTAGATACAATTCCACCCGTAAGCACTCTCTGGGCTTGAACAGCTGTGATGGGTGACGTAACAGCATCTGATGTCGAAATCTTGACCAATTTCTCTGACTCAGAGCTTCAGGACATAATGAAACCGTGTCTCTGGATATTTCAAATAAAAGGGATCCGCGGGAGCCTTCGGTTGCAGCAGGAACTGCTGAAACACCTCACTCTTCAACATGTTCACATATGTGGGGCTGTATTTCATCAGAAAGCAGCATGGAATTTCGGTATGGCACAAGTGTAACCATTCCTTTCAAATGTCTTTTAAACATCCCGAATATTGCACCATACTTCGCATGCTACAAAAATGCTCACAAAAATCAGTTCATACGAAGACTAGCTGACAACAACCCAAACATTTGTGTCTAATCACCCCCACCGAAACCCTCCAGACCACCAGAAACCACCGCGCGGCCATAATAACCGCGAAGGAGCGCATCGCGGGCACCGCTCCTAAACACGCGATCAACATTCTGCTGCAGTATTTTGAAAAGCGGACGGACGAGTACAGGCGGTCATGGATTGTGACACGCAGGTCCAGCCGTCTGTGGTGCTACTGCTGCGTGTGTGGCGCGTACACTGGTGGCAGGTGCAGTACGTAACTGCGGCGCTGTTTCCAGACGTGCAGCGGTGGCAGATACAGTACGTAACTGCGGCGCTGTGTCCAGACGACTCTGCATAGTATCTGGGTGTAGCACCCAGACGATTCTGCGCAGTATCTGGGTGCAGCACCTACGCGACAGTGCGCTGCATCTGTGCAGCACTGGACCGTGTACAGGATCCAGTCATCACCGAACGCTGTGTGGTCCGGCGGACCCGTCCGCCCAGTGGGAAGACGCTCCGCCTCCCCCCCCCCCCCCCCCCCCCCCCCGGAGAGGGTCAAACCAGGGTGCGGACGAACCAGAGCACGGCGACTCGGCAGCATCCGACACTGATCTGGGGACTGCGCACCGCGTCACCAGTAAACCCCTCGGCGATGGCTGCACCGCGTGCGCCCTCTCCGGAGCCACACCATCACTCGCGCTGAAAGACCACGACAGCGTCCTGCTTGAGAGGACCGCAGGAGCGCCAGCGTACGGCGGGGGTGACGCTGGGGCCCGTCACGGCGGGCCCCAGCGTCACCTCAGTGACGCACCGAGGGCCGCCGTGACGTCACCCCGCGGCGCCGGCTTCCAAGGCGTCATGTTCACTGCCAGCCGCCGCCTTCTCTGAGAGCCTCCATGCGGTGTTCCCGCCGCCTCGCGGTGAAGCAGTAGCCTCTGCGCAGTTCTCTGGCATTCGCCAGCGTCGGTGGCAGCCTTTGCGCCGGGCTGCCGCCGCCGCCTCATCTAGTGGTAGCCGCCGCCGTATCCGCCGCCGTACTTGCTGTTGTGGTGGTCGCCCTTCTTGTACTTGTCGTGATGGTACTTGCCGTGGTTGCCCTTGTAGCTGTCATGGCTGTCATGGCCGTACTTGCCCTTGTTGCCGCCGTACTTGTCATAATCGTGACCGTTCTTGTAGTACCCGTCGTGGCCCTTCTTCTGGTCGTAGTGTCCCTTCTGTGAACGGCAGGGTGCGGTGGCGTCAGCGAAGGCGTGTGGCCTCGTCGGACCAGTTCACGAGGTCAGAAGAGCATTGTGTGCAACAGACGGATGACCAGCCGGTCTGCTGTACCGCCGCTTCGATGAACCGATCTGCTGTTCCGTCGCTTCACATCTTTTGAAGGCGCCCGAGCGCTCCTCAAACCCGGAGGGACGTTGTCTGTGGTAACGTTTTTTGAGGCGTGCACTGGGTATTAGAGTTGAAAACTCCATATCAAAGTCGACTACAGCACCGCATACCGATCATCGTCAAACGTGGCATTAGCAGATGTCATTAATGGTGCTGCACGTTCATTTGCCGACCGCCAGAATGAACGGATTCATACGTATTACCAAGCTTTTTCAATGGTTGTGTTTTACTTGAAGCTTATGGCCTCAAGTAATGATGGCGTGGTACTCCTCCTTGTTCAGGTATGATCAGCTTTTGGCGGTGGCATTCAAATTTTCTCTGCAGAATTATGTTTAGGTGGCCGAGTTACAAACAGGCGTGGTCAAAAGGCCAAAACGTTCTGGGTACAATGCCGCGTTCTCTAGTTTTCCATGATTCACATCATGCATATGGTCTGCCTGGACAGAGGCCTGCTAGACGCCACCCCTGATCCCCTCTCCAGCCAGTCAGTCGGTGGTTGTCATAGCCGCGCCAAGTGATGGGGTCCAGCTGGCGAAACATACCTTGTAGTGTCCGCCGTGGTACTTCTTGCCGTCGGAGCCGCCGTAGTAGCCGTGGTGGTCATTGTACTTGTTGTGGTAGCCGTCGTCGTGGTAGTTGTCGTAGAACTTCTTCTTGGCGTGGTACTCCTCCTTGTGGTGGATGTTCTTGTAGCCCTGTGCACCAAAACGAGGAAGCGTGTTAAGTGTCACGCTTGAACTGGCGTGGTCGCTCCAAACGACCTCCACCTGACCCGTCCATGACCCTTCTGTGTTCATGACATTACATAAGACATATTTCCGAATAAGCCGAACGGCCCTTTACTTCAGTCATAATGTCATTCGAGTTCAATTCTCTCTCATCACTACAGTTCTCAACGGTGAAAGGCGCTATGTACTCGATGGGGCATCTGAGCCCAGTATATTTCAGTGACACGTAGCGTGTCTTTGGTGCGGCCGTTATTGCTGGCGCCCTCTGCTGACCTTGTTCTTGTGTCCCTTGTCGTAGTAGCCCTTGTTGCCGTACTTATGACCCTTGTTGCCGTGGTACTTGTCGTGCTTGTCTCCCTTGTACTTGCTGCCTCCCTTGTAGCCATGGTGACTGTTACCATGGTCGCCATAGTAACCCTGGAAAGTGTTATGGAATGAAAGAAACGAGAGCTCATGAGGCAATGCTGCGGACAATATTTACTTTGTAAACAACAGATGGCACACACTATTTGGGATGCATGATAAGTTTTTTATATCGAACTTTGGCAAATGAGCTACGTTTGGTATTTGACAGCTAAGCTGGACTAGGCAAAATAGACCAGCCTGACGTGAGCCACAAACTGAAGCACATAATCCAAGGGAGCTGAATGAAGACACGAAGGCAAAATCACAACACAAAGTTAAAGTTCGCGTCGTCCATGCAAAAGCTATTGCCGTTTAGGAGGGGGGAGTAAATAGCCAGTGCGGTATGCAGACGGACGACTGAAGTGGTGTGTCTTGTATCAGACGAATCGCAGCCAATAACTTGAACTCAGCAGCGGACCTTGTCTTACGTCCTTTTGTAATATAGTACAAACCTTTTTATTGCCCTTGCCGTGGGCACCGTACTTCTTCCCGTGGTGGCCAGACCCTTTCTTGTAGTATTTCCCTCCTTTGTAGCCGTCATTGCCATATTTGGAGCCGCCGTACCCCTTGTCGCTGTAGTATTTTTTGCCATACTTCTTGTCATGGTGGTACTTCTTGTCGTGTCCATAGCCTGAAAACGGTCGATAACGTGTGATTGATTGAATGCAACATGTATCAGTTATATTTTTAGGCACACTATTTATGTATTGGAAGGTAGATGATATCTAAATAATTTGGTATACCAAGCAATATGTGCACAATATTAAAACATGCGTGATGAAGAGATCAGAATGAGCTAATACCGATGTTGAGAAAGCCTTTTGCAGCCATTGACAAACATGTCATTTCTAACAAGACACTAGGGCAATTCGAATAGCATTTGTTGCGTCACATATTGTTACGATTTCCGCACTTGAAAGCTGCACTCCCTCATGTCTTGCCAAAGTCGCTGTGACTGGATCCCAAACTCATATCGGAAACGGCTCGTCACACGCTTTCCCAGTCCCTCCCCTTGCCCTCCTGATCTTCTGCTGACCTTCCCGCCTCTTCCCTCCGCCTCATGATCTTCTGCTGACCTTCCTGTCTCTCCCCTTCCCCTCCTGATCTTCTGCTGACCTCCCCGTCCCTCCCCTTCCCCTCATGATCTTCTGCTGACTTTCCCATCTCTTCCCTCCGCCTCCTGATTTCCCGTCCTTCCCCTCTCCCTCCTGACCTCGTCTCTCTCTCCATCCCCTTCTGACCTGTGGCTGCCGGCACCAGATCGAAAGTCCGGCCCTCAGACCTAGCAGCAACCGCGGGCGTCAGATGGCGTGCCGCACCGTCCGCCGTCATAAAGGTGGCGCTACCATCGCCGAGCGCCGCCCGCGCCAGCCGCGTGTCGTTGGGGCTGGCCGGCTGGGGCTGGGCGCGGTCCCGACTGCCGGGTGAGCCGTGAGAGCCCAGCACGAACAGAGCCGCCAGCAGCAGCACCCGCTGGCTCTGGAACACGGCCGAGAGGCACGAGCTAAGCTGATGACGTCACACGGGTGCTGACTAGCACGATCTGGTTGCCGCGACCAAGACTGGAAAAATGGTCACCCATGGGGCATAAATGCGTTCACGTTGCGACATCTGCACTGTATTCACGTGATGTATTTATTTTCGCCGGACGTTTGCTCATTTCATCGCTGCATGTATTGGCCTCTCAGTACGTAGGGAAGCACCACAGCCGTGACCTTTCAACATGCTGCAGGAAATTCATAATATTGCGTTGCGGCACAGTAAAGATTTGGGGGTGAGAATGTGGCATATTGGCAGGGCTCCCACAGCAAATTCACAATTTTTCTGTTCCGTTGCATGAGTTTGGTTAAAGCCTGGTTATCAGGATGCCGCGTTGTCTCCTGCTTCTTGCGGCCCTCTCGCCAGGCCAGATGCCGTGTTGTCTCCTGCTTCTTGCGGCCCTCTCGCCAGGCCAGATGCCGTGTTGTCTCCCGCTTCTTGCGGCCCTCTCGCCAGGCCAGTACCTTCTTGCGGCCCTCTCGCCAGGCCAGTACCTTCTTGCGGCCCTCTCGCCAGGCCAGTACCTTGCGGCCCTCTCGCCAGGCCAGTACCTTGCGGCCCTCTCGCCAGGCCAGTACCTTCTTGCGGCCCTCTCGCCAGGCCAGATGCCGTGTTGTTTCCCGCTTCTTGCGGCCCTCTCGCCAGGCCAGTACCTTCTTGCGGCCCTCTCGCCAGGCCAGTACCTTCTTGCGGCCCTCTCGCCAGGCCAGTACCTTGCGGCCCTCTCGCCAGGCCAACACCTTTTAACAGCATCGTCAGGATGTCCGATACGCTTGCCGGCAAATGCCCAAACAAAAGAAGTCTGCGGTATAAAGAGTATGGAATGAAACAGTGGGAGGCAGTTGAAGAGGGACGTTATCTTACAATGACAGCCAATGTGGTATGCCTGTGATGGCCCAGCTTCAGGAGCGCCTGGAGGCCCTGACGACGAACTCTTTTATCTGTGATCAGCCAGTGGCGCAGCCTTGGCTAGATGGCAGACATGTGCCTGGATTCAAAAGGTGGACCCAGGATCCCATTGGGTTCCAGGCTGATGTCATGCTGGGATCGGGTTTTGGGATTTGTTTTGAACTCATCATGTACTCGGTACAGCTCGGTACATGTGTCCGGCTCGGTACAGCTCGGTACATGTGTCCGGCTCGGTACAGCTCGGTACATGTGTCCGGCTCAGTACAACTTGGTACATGTGTCCGGCTCGGTACAGCTCGGTGCATGTGTCCGGCTCGGTACAACTCGGTACATGTGTACGGCTCGGTACAGTTCGGTACATGTGTCCGGCTCGGTACAGCTCGGTACATGTGTCCGGCCAGAGCGGGTCACATCAGAAATGGGTCGTTGACCGCGCGTCAGGTCAACTGGCGTCCATGTCTAATAGAGATGGGTCGTTGACCGCGCGTCAGGTCAACTGGCGTCCATGTCTAATAGACCATGGGATCACACACTTCCACCAAAAGCTTGCCTCCACTACCTCGCCTCAGAATCTAGCATCAGCTAAATTGGGTGGTGTTATGCTAATTTTGGCACAACACCAGCTAATCCTTGCTTTTCTCTTGGCATGCTTTCTCTCTAGTTTAGGTGATCTCGAACTGGGTTCGACAGAATTCATTTGACGGTTTCGCATCCGTTCAGGAGTTGCAACAGGGAGTGGAGGAGTGATGAATGTCAGGCTACCCTATCCCAGACCACTGATCTCACTTTGCATAATACACTGCCGTGTTTTTAGCAATCAGAATCCATGGTCCATGGCTCAGGGTGTATGGATTAATTGCAGGACTCTGGACCCACCGGTTGATATCTAAGGAGGAGGACCCTAGATTGGACGGGTCACAGATCCGAATCCAGAATCAGAACACAAAGATGGCAATTAATAGAGTAGGATTCAGGGACGACGGTCAATCGATCACGATGAATGGATTGTGACCTCGGGATCTCAATCTAGGAATCGGATCCAGAACTTAGACTCGAGCAATAAAGATCCAAAGACCATACCAAGGGTCATGACCCAGGACTCAGGATCAAGGGCTTAAGATCCGGGTCTCTGGGTCCAGATCCCTGTATATACACAGGGCTCCAGACCGAGCGTCGCCGCCGCTGTCTCACCGTGCTCGCCATGGTGGCTGGCTGCGTCAATGTGAGCGCTGTCCGCTGGCGCCTCGGCGGTGCGGCCGCCTTCGACACCTCGTCGCTCTCACACTGGAACACGGTACCGCTGCCCCCAGCTCAGCCCCTCTTATACCCCGGCGGCGGTCCGGTGGCCGCCGGCCGCGCGCCATAAGGGCGACCGGCCGCCGGCCGACGGGCGAAACTCGGTTTTGCGCGATCAGAGCGGCGCGTGCCGGACACCGCCGTCGAAATAGAAATTTCGGAGCGATCACGCGCGCCCGTGACAGTTTCACGCGGCACGTGCGTGCGTGACCGGTCGCGGCGGAAGTTGCAGGTCATGCCGGCTGCAGCGTTGCGTCAGTAGCGGCGATAAGCGCGTCGTGCTGCCGCCGTTTGCAGCCCTATCGCCTGGAACGTCCTGCGCCGTGAACTGAACGTCTCGACGACTTGGTTGACGTGAGCTGAGACGGCAACAGCCCACCACCTCAGCGGGAGGGCGTCTGTGGCGGCGACAGCCCAGCCACCACAGCGGGAGGCGCCTGTGGCGGCGACAGCCCAGCCACCACAGCGGGAGGCGCCTGTGGTGGCGACAGCACAGCCACCACAGCGGGGAGGCCTCTGTGGCGGCGACAGCCCAGCCACCACAGCCGGGAGGCGTCTGAGACAGCGATAGCCCGGCCACCGCAGCAGGGAGGCGTCTCAGCCTGTGGACGGCCGTGGGATGGGGAGTCCAATGGGAGGTGTCGAGTCAGACCGTCTGCGGACGAGGGAGCGTCTCGCGGTACCTATGGTGATGACGCTGGTGGCTGGTGGTCAGGCTTGTGTCACAAAAAGTGACGGAGGCAAAAGATTCGGCGCGCTCACAGCGCTGGTGTGACGTCAGCCAAGGTGTCAAGTTATCCATGCAGGAAGGCTAACGTGGGCCGCCTGGTCCTGGTTTTGCACGGCGAGCCAAAAAGCCGCTGTTGACAATATTTTGCTGACGCATTGGAATAGTCATCGCCAGGAGGATCACTTTGGTGGGAGCTGAACGCCAAAGCTTCTCGTATATGGCTGACTGGTGTCACCTGAGCAGCTTGACCGCGCCGGCCTCGCTGCAGCTCCCAGGGCGGGACCCCACGCCCGGTCCGACTGCGAGCGCGCCTAGCCGTGTTTTACAGCGTACGCCCTGCTGGGGCTTAACAAGTTAACTTGTGGGGTACGGCAGCACCTGGGGGGAATCATACTGGTCAACATGTCCAGTTTCCAGGTGGGAGGTACATTACCAGGAGACATAGGCTGGCTGCGTTCATACCTCTTCGATGTTCTGTGTTACACATTGGGTGTGGATTTCATAAGCTCCAGGTCATCACCTGCCTACTTACACCTGTCGGAGAAAAACGGTATGTCTTAACATGGCTGCCGGGGTCAAAATCGTGTCATCATGCCAACGTATGATTCGTTGGAAGGGAAGCGATAATAGCAGCATATGCTACAACGAACCACGCACCATGAGCTGAAGAACAGCGGGTCGCGTGTCCGCGGACGGGACGACAAACACGGGACTCAACCAAAACATGTGCACCATGTGCTGTCATGGATAAGCTCCTTTCGCATGTGTCCACTCTGCGGTTGCAGCCGATGGCTAATCAGTTAGCGGGATCGTAACCCGGAGCCGGCCCAAATCGCAGCTTACGGTGTTTCAGTGAATCATACTTTTAGATGAGTCGTCAGAGATCTTAACGCCTCGTGCAACAGCAACGCCAGGTGCTAAACTAAGCGCTGATATATGGTCAACACATTACCTGTCGTCCTATTGAATAAAAACACAAACGTCGTATTTGCAGCCTCTCGCACACTCTAAAACCTATTTCAGATCACAAGCCCCCTCCCACCGCCCGCTGTTCCGCGCTGCCACCCCGCTCCCAAATGTTCTCTTTCCGCCCACGTGTCAGTCGCCGTTTCGCGCCCGCGTACAGTTGCTTTCTCCAACCTGCTATGATAGCTTATCGCTTGTGGACTTTGGGCCCAGCCTGGTCGCGGCCGTTCACGTGTGAGTCGTGTCGGCGACAGGAACGCGAAGAGGAATGTACTTCAGGCGATAACAGCCAGTCCTGCTCGGTCAAAACGACAATCAGCCACTCGTAAAGGTATTGACTGGACCGACCCCCGCAAGCTGTGCAATGCCAATTTGCATTCATTGTTTAGCCGGTGCGTCCTTCCGGAGGAAGCCTGTTTGTGCGTGTGCGTGTGGTTGCGTGCCGCAGTCAGGTGCTGACGCTGTGCGTGTACGTGTGGTCGCGTGCCGCAGCCAGGTGCTGACGCTGTGCGTGTGCGTGTGGTCGCGTGCCGCAGTCAGGTGCTGACGCTGTGCGTGTACGTGTGGTCGCGTGCCGCAGCCAGGTGCTGACGCTGTGCGTGTGCGTGTGGTCGCGTGCCGCAGTCAGGTGCTGACGCTGTGCGTGTACGTGTGGTTGCGTGCCGCAGTCAGGTGCTGACGCTGTGCGTGTACGTGTGGTTGCGTGCCGCAGTCAGGTGCTGACGCTGTGCGTGTACGTGTGGTTGCGTGCCGCAGTCAGGTGCTGACGCTGTGCGTGTACGTGTGGTTGCGTGCCGCAGTCAGGTGCTGACGCTGTGCGTGTACGTGTGGTTGCGTGCCGCAGTCAGGTGCTGACGCTGCGCGGCTGGGGCTTCTGAGGTTCACCCAGGCAGGAAAGGCGGACAACGCGAGCAGTTGAACCCTGTACCCACGAGCCGTTAGACGTACAGCTGAACCATGGCGCCAGCACTACCCCTGACTAGACTTATGTTAGAAAAGCCGGTGCATTGCAGGGACGCATATGTGGCCGATAAGTTAATTGGCTCGTTTTTTTTTGTTGAGGCGGGATGCTAATAATTCAATTTACACCGTACAATTCGGTCCATCCGATCAATAATTTTGAGAATGTGCTCACCTATCATGTGTCTTGTATTAGTTCGTTGGCGCCATTCGCTACCCCTTTTCCGTTCGGTAGTACATGGATGTCGCCTGGCGTCTTCCATGTGTTGTGCTCTCTCACCTTCTGCATTAAACGCGTTTTTCTGCATATGGGAACCCTGTTCTGTACCACACACGTTGGTTCATGCGCGACAAGCAAGCGCGAGCGCGACAAGCACAAGCACGCAGCAAAAGGCCAAAATATATTCTTGACCTTGATATGACGGGGGAAAGAATTGGTTTCGGAAATGAAGGAGCAAGCTTACAAGTATGAAGTTGAACGCCAGCTGAATATTCAAAGATGTGATCTAACATCCCATTACTTAAACTGGGTTGGCCACTCGACGCATTTTAGCGACCGCGCGACCAGCCCTGCCATTTAGCGGGGAAAATGCCATAGGACGCCGGCCGGACTGGAGTGGGGGCTCGCGCGCCGTTTGTTGGTGGTATCGAGTGTCTGTAGCGCTGGCTTCCCTTGTGTTTCAAAGGGTTTGAAGAGATTCCGGGCGTCCTCGGCATCAGAGGTTGGGAACGAGCATTTTGGCATGACTGCTCGAATTCAAAAATCAAAATTCAATAAATTTCCTTACTTGATGGTGGGTGCCTGTGCCCTGTTACATAAAAATCAGCATCATCAAATGCGTGCCTACTAGTGCAGAGCAGTGATGGGTCTCCTCTACAACGGGAACAGACTGCCGTTCATGCCGCAGACCTCCTCCGCATGCAACCTCACATACTGTGTGAGGAGGTCACCGCGCTGTCTGGGAAGGGTGCCAACAGGTGCAACCGGAAAAGCTACAAATTGTGTGCCCATGTGTAAGGCTGAGCTCCGCGTAGTCCTTCGTTCCAGAGAGCTAGGTGAAGCTCCAGTCCCGCAAAGCTTTCCTTCAATAGGCCGCCACCTCCGCCCGAACCGGAAGTGTGTCTGCGCGGCGGCTGGACCATGATACCACGCGAATTCGCGCCGTAATTTCCCCTGACTTGTGGTTTTTAGTATTTTGGTGTTCATGTCATCTTCTCGTGTGACTCAGCTTGGTTGCCTGCATATTGTTTCGCGTATTAAGGTGTTTGCTGATCTATGCGAATGTTTTGCGGCGTCCCACGTTGCGTTACGGGCGCGTGAAGCTGGGGCGGAGAGGGCTCAGCGGCCGGTGCGTGTCATACCCCTTACCTCATACGACGTGGTCATAGGTGGATCGGGGAGACGTGTTCAACGGGAGAATGCGAACCTGATTTAGTCAGAAGAACAATGCCTGCTGGTGCGCAAAAATGCGTCTCCTCCCGCTACCCTAGGCTGGTCAGCTACTGGGCACGCTACCCTAGGCTGGTCAGCTACTGTGTACGCTACACTAGGCTGGTCAGCTACTGGGTACGCTACACTAGGCTGGTCAGCTACTGTGTACGCTACACTAGGCTGGTCAGCTACTGGGCACGCTACCCTAGGCTGGTCAGCTACTGGGTACGCTACACTAGGCTGGTCAGCTACTGGGTACGCTACACGGGGCTGGTCAGCTTCTGGGTACGCTACACTAGGGCTGGTCAGCTACTGTGTACGCTACCCTCGGCTGGTCTGCTACTGTGTACGCTACCCTAGGCTGGTCAGCTACTGTGTACGCTACACTAGGCTGGTCAGCTACTGTGTACGCTACACTAGGCTGGGTCAGCTACTGTGTACGCTACCCTAGGCTGGTCAGCTACTGGGCACGCTACCCTGGGCTGGTCAGCTACTGGGTACGCTACACTAGGCTGGTCAGCTACTGGGTACGCTACACTAGGCTGGTCAGCTACTGGGTACGCTACACTAGGCTGGTCAGCTACTGTGTACGCTACACTAGGCTGGTCAGCTACTGTGTACGCTACACTAGGCTGGTCAGCTACTGTGTACGCTACACTAGGCTGGTCAGCTACTGGGTACGCTACACTAGGCTGGTCAGCTACTGGGTACGCTACACTAGGCTGGTCAGCTACTGTGTACGCTACACTAGGCTGTTCAGCTACTGGGTACGCTACACTAGGCTGGTCAGCTACTGTGTACGCTACCCCGGGCTGGTCAGCTACTGTGTACGCTACACTAGGCTGGTCAGCTACTGGGTACGCTACCCTGGGCTGGTCTGCTACTGGGC